AAATAAACGACGGCATCTACAGCGACAGTTACAGAATCCTTTGAAAGAATCTGAAAACAGGATTTGATAGTTACACATACTCCGTCAGAAACGAGTTTTAGTCAAACCATATCTCAACGTTGTCACCTTTATTACACAGGCACCTCCAACCCCTTTAGAAGACTAAGGCTGCGTTCATACTTCGCGGCAGCGTCCACCAGCGACCACTAGCCTTCCGAGCGTCCGGCAGCGTCAGCGACTAGGAAAGTATAGATATCGAGTCAGCGTCTGCCAGCGTCCACCAGCGTCTGCCAGCGTCTACCGGCGTCAACCGGCGTTCACCAGCGACCGGTAGCAGAGGGTATGGGGATGTATGAGGGTAGCAAACGGATTAGCTCGTGAAATTGTGCAACTACACAGCACAACTGCTAAAGCACAGAATTATGCAATTCAATGTACGGTGTAGTGTAGTTGTACGGTGCGGTTGCACACGCCGCGATTTCACGACGCCTAATCCAGCTGTTTGCTACCCTCCTACTTCCCCATACTCTCTACTCCCGGTCGCTGGTGAACGCTGGTGGACGCTGGTAGACGCTGGCAGACGCTAGATCGATATCTATACTTTCCTAATCGCTGACGCTGCCGGACGCTTGAAATGCTAGTGTTCGCTGGTAGACGCTGCCGCAAATATGAACGAAACCTAGGGGTTTCGAACGTACAACGTGCCCTGCTAAACCTCGACATCCCACCTGAACCACACACACTGAGACCAGGACCTAATTCATCTCGAAAGGCTACGGCATGTCGAACCAATGGAGTAAGGACAGCAATTCAATTTGTAGGGATTTTTAACAGTACTTCCAGTACGCATAACAGTTAGGAGTACAGTAAGCATAATAGTTAGAAGTGAGGGGAGGGGAGATTATCTTTAAAAACGTGAGTTAAGTAATGCGTAACACTTTCATAACATTATCATAGGAAACGTACCTCTTGAGGAGGAACATCGAATGAGACCACCCTGAGATCAATTTTTTTATACGAGTCAATACATGGCAGTATAAAAAAGATACCTGGAAAAAAAATTAGGTAAGATTTTTTCTAGTCTCTGCCATTACAGTACAACTTACCAGGTCCTTTTGCTCCTCCTGGCATTAATCGACCAAGTCGGAAGATGACTGCACGCTCATACTCTTGAACTACCTGAAATTATGCATTTTGCGTTACCATGACTCTCCTATTCAAACTTGTGAATTTTTCCTTTCGCGCTGTCAGCCTTTCGGCATTTGTTCACTGAGAATCCAAAGCTGCGTCCATACTTTGCGACAACGTCCACCAGCGAAGTAGCGTCCACCAGCGTTCCGAGCGTCCGGCAGCGTCAGCGACCAGGAAAGTATAGATATCGGTCTAGCGTCTGCTGCTAGCGTCTAACAGCGTCCAGGCGGAGAGTATGGCGCGATAGGAGGGTAGCAGACAGCTGGTAGAGTATGGGGAAATAGGAGGGTAGCAGACTGCTGGTACAGAGTATGGCGCGATAGGAGTGTAGCAGACAGCTGATAGAATATGTGGAGATAGGAGGGGTACAAACTGTTGTAGAGGTATGGCGCGATGTTGAGGGTAGGCAGACAGTGGTACTCTCTTATCGCCCCATACTCTCCACCAACAGTCTGCTACTGATCGCTGGTGGACTCTGGCAGACGCGGGCAGACGCTAGATCGATATCTATCTTTCCCTAGTGGCTGACGCTGCCGGACGCTCGGAACGCTGGTGGACGCTGCCGCAAAGTATGAAAACAGCCTAAGGAGATTTGGAAAAGTTTAGAGCATTAGTCAAGCATGACCTGACGGGAGCTGGTAGTGGTTCACTTCTGAAGAGAAAGTTCAACATACACTCTCGAAATTGTTCTCTCAAAGTTCGCTGAGCCACGATGTCTCTGGGTAAGATCTATCCCGTCGATGTCATGAAACACACAGTGAATCTTGTTCGCTGCTTATGATAGATTTTCGAAGAGGCTGAGTTTGTCGCGGTGCCAGCTCGTTCTCATACATTTGTAGAAGCGGGTAAACGGCAACGAAATTGTAGAAAAACGATCGATACGGACGACGTGATGCCTGAGTTTTGTCGCTTGCACACCTCAACAATTGCTGAAAAGCGCCTTTTGGCGCCGCCCAAACACCCGATCACCTGCACCGAAAGAAGCTGCACATCGTGGATGCGCTTCAAAGGGGTTCGTCTTTGGATCACTGTATAGGAGGATCGTACCTGGCAATGCGGGAACTTTTTCGATTCTAAGGAACAGTTTGGCTCAGGGTAGGGACACCTTCAAGCGCTTTAGCCAATTCCTGTTGTCATATCGCGCCATCGAGTACATGGAGATTTTTGAAATCTTGTGAAGGTGGGAACTGGTACCAGACAAATTTGTGGAGATAACTTGTACTCTTATGAAGAAATACCTGTCAACTCTTGTGAAGCAATAAACACGACGATAGAAAAAAGCGAAGTGCGAAGTGCCCCGCCCCGTCCTCCCAAGCGAACCCGCGCGTTTTTTGCATAATTTTCCTGGATTTTGGGCGCGGTACAGATATCGCCCCAATCGACTGGAACGGTGTAAGAAGGCGTCAATAAGCACGCGTGTATTTCTAAAGGTTATTTTACACTTGGTAGTTAGTTCTTAGAGAGGTACCCTTTAGACACGTTGGTAGCCAATGGTACGCAATACAGTGCGTAACAAAAGTATGTGGACACCCCAAATTTTGATTTTGCGAAACTGCCTTTGGATATTGCGATCTGAGACCATCACTGTTAAATTCCTCATAAGCGAAAGTATAGGAATGCACTACCTCTAAAAGCACTATTTTGAAAGCTCATTGAGCAATGATTTATTGTTTTGAAAAAATTTCTTAATAACAAAAGTATGTGGACACTTAACAAAAAACAAAAGTATCATGGAAATTAAAACTTGGTGCTCCCTCCCGCGTTCACTATTACTTCGAACATTCTGTCTGGCATGCTGTGGACAAGATTTGTGATAGTGTCTTCGTCGATTTCCTCCCATGCAGCCACTACCGCCTCCTTGGGGTCTCGCACGCTGTTGTACTGCCGATTGTTCATGTAAGTTCGTCGAACCATAATTCCCCACAGGTTTTCGATTGGGTTGCAGTCAGGAGAACATGCCGGCCAATCCATCACTTTGATACCATTGCGTTGGAGCCATTTTATAGTAGAATTTGAAACATGCACGGCGGCGTTGTCCTGCTGCAGCACATGTGTCCTGGGTCGTGGCCCACTCAGAAAAAGCAAGAGGTAGGATTCGAGCACTCCTTGATATTCCTGACTGTTCATACGGCACGATGGGAAGGCGAGCTCTAACTTTCCGCTGGTTCCAAAACCACCCCACACCATCAAGAGCCGCCTCGAATTTCGCCTCGAGAACACCAACGGATCGCGACGAAGGTCTCTCCAGTAGTGCCGATATCCATCTGGACCGTCGAGATTGAACTTTTTTTCATTGGTAAAGATAACCTAAGAAAGAAAAGCGCATGAGATGTTGTCTTTCTGATTTTACAAATTTCTCAAAAAACTTCACCTTGTCCCACGACGTCGCCATGTTTGCACGCGCGAAGTTCAGTCTCGCCAGCCGGTGTTGGGCAGTCAGGCGAGGAGCTTTCTTCATGGTCTCTCGTGTGATATGCTCATTTGATCGAAATATAGCGCCATATCGTCATTTTTGAGACCGGTAGATTCACTGCAGCATGGATCGTCTTCAGCAGAAGGGGGAGTTTGAGGCGACACGCGCTATTCTTCTGATGTCTTTTGCGGACAAAGATCGAGGACGCCCCGAAATATGTGCTGAATGGTAGCCATCAGGATTCTGGAGGTATTTACCAACGCACGTCGCCGAACGTCCGAGCTGTCTTGCAATTTCTCTAGTCGAGCGTCCAGCAGCACTGAGAGCTCCAATCTGAGATTGTTCGCCTTCGGAGAGAGTACTGCCACGACGAGGCATGAGTACAGGTTAAAGGGGAGCAAAGACGATAGATATGGGTTGCAGATTTGGAGTCAAACTTTGAACTTTCTCAGGTGTCCACATACTTTTGTTATTAAGAAATTTTTTCAAAACAATAAATAATTGTACGTTAGTTCACAATGTATTCAGAAGTAGTGCATTCCTATACTTTCGCTTATGAGGAATCTAACAGTGATGGTCTCAGATCGCAAAATCCAAAGGCAACTTCGCAAAATCAAAATTTGAGGTGTCCACATACTTTTGTTACGGTCACTGTATACGCGCAGAGCGGTCGGGAGGTGATCCCCAATCCCTTCCTTCCCAACATCCCATCTACCACTTTTCTAAATTTTCCCCACTTCCCACCACTGTTCTCAGCTTTTTCCGACATTCTCAGAAATCTCATTCTCAGAATTCATTCTTCAGAATGTTTCTTCTTTTTCCCCAAAGCTTTGCTTTCTGCCGAGCGGGAGGTGAGGGGGGACGGGGAGATATAAAGCACATGTGAAACAGGAATACCGCGAAAAGTCAAAGGGAAAAATTTTCTTAACGCCGCAAATTTTTCTTGAAGGCACATACGACACTTCTCCCTTTCCTTGCCGACAAACGAAAGAATACGACCACTCTCCCACACCGTTATCGCTTCAACCTGAAAATGAAACAGCTGCAAAATAAAATTTCTCTGCTTGAATACGATTTCCTCCCCTCAGTCGATCAGAATACCGACCCTCCCCATGTTGGGTATTCCCAATCGGGTTATGTACAAGAGATTCCGCAAGTCGAATGTAACCTCACAGAGCGCTAATGGGCGTCGCGTGCGACGTCGCGCTCGCAAATGACGATGGCTTCAGGTCGTAGATGGCGACAACAGTTAATTTAGAATCGAAGGTAGTCATAAATGTGGACTATTTTGTAGCCCACGTGAAGTAAGGTGCTCCAATGGACAGTATAACACGAATTAAGAAAACGCCGCTCTTACGTCGCGCGCGGCACAGAGCGACCAATTACGATTCTCTTGCCCGTCTCCCATTCCCACCAACTTCCCACCCCACACTCAAATGATAAGCTTCTGTCAACGACGCATACGAATTGGACTCAAACAACCTCGTCCCCTACCAGTGGTGTTTTCTTCCTGAATCGAACACTTACCGATCACTATTGCGCTAAAAAAACCCACTTGCGAATGGGCTCATTCTGTGCCTCCTGAGATTGCCCCACCTGGACTGCGACGGTATCATCTGTACCCCTTAGAGATTGGGTACCCCTTAGAGTGGAGCGGTGATTTTACTATATCCAATTTATGTAACTGGTCGGATGTCTCGCCGCTACCTCTCCTCCTTCGAGGAAAGAAGATAAGTAGGAGGAAATGGAACCTCCTGGTGTAAAGGAATTTTTCCATATCTTAATGTTTCCTAGAAACCGTCGACACCATATTTTTCCAAAATGTCCCTTTTTGCGCGATTCAGAAGCAATCTAGTTAGTTGCTGTTGACGATAGAGCAAATATCTGGATTGGCAACGGTGTTTTGACCAGAATTCCCAGCTATTAAGACCTAATTTATGCGAAGATTGAATACGGAAGGAATGGGTATAGGACATGAATTTATGTCACGCTATAATCAAAGGCAATGGAGGCTTTTTGGCTTGCCATCTTCTACGAGCGCATACCTAACATGCACCTAAATTCGTAATTAAAATGATTTTCACTAAACAAACCATACCTTTATACATAAACAAGCTGAAAGTGGAAGTGTAACGGCCACAAATATATATGATAATATCGTCAATATCCAACTGCACACGGTAAATTCGACAACTTGGTTAGCTGAAAAAGTGTATCATTCTCAATACAGTTCGATATATTTTATGTTTTTATATACAAAAATTAGTCCCACACAACTGTTGTTCTAGATTTTTGGCTAGATTGCGTGAAGTGTGTCAAAGGCGCCTATGATTGGTGCACTATCAGCGGAACCAATCACAGGTAAGCATTGCATGCCCAATCAAAAGTTGGAGTTATGACTAAATTCCACACGTTGTAGTATAGAAAAACTGAATCAGGCCCAAAAGTTGTCTTTTTATGATTCAATGACATAAATCGGTAAATAACTCTTAAACACTCCGTGGCACATGTAGGTCGTCACTTAAATACTCCTCATGTACACTTCAAAGGAAATCCAGCGAAGCTCTAGAAAGCAGGATTCCTGGCGTGTTCACACTCAATTTGCTACTGTAAAGAGCGGCTGGCTCCATACATACGCTTCATATCTAGGAAATGGGAAGGGTGGGCTCCGCACTTCACTCGCAGGGGTGGGGCTGCGTAGAATCTTTGTGAGACATTTGAAGGTGGGGGGTCGACAAACATGCAACAAAAGGCACACCCATCTCGCTCTGTGAACCACGGCCCTCCCATCTCCGTGATATGGAGTGTACAGGATAAAAAGAAGAAAAAAGCCGCTTACCAGGAAGTCCACTCGGTCCCACCCCCCCTCCAACAAAGACCTACTGACGCGTGACATTCCAAACTGTCATTCTTCTAATGATGGTAAATTTATGAGCTTGAACTTACAAGGTTTTTTGTAAGTTTGGGTCGTACCTGGCTGCCGCATTCCCGGAGTCGCGAGTGCCAAGGGCGACACTGGTTCCGAATGAGCTGTTGTGAGCCGACGCAAGGGGCTAGCGTATTGACGGTATAGCAGTACCGATCAATACGTCTTTGGCAGTACCACAACACAAGTCCTGTAGAAGCGTTCGCACTTGTAATGGCACGGTCTGGTATTGAACAGGATAACATGTAGCACTGCGATATCGTGCGGAATTATCGCGTGCGGTAAATGACTTATATGCTCTTTTTCATTATCACCAGAGAACATCTGCCAACATGAAAAAGATACACGCTATGTCGAAGCTAGAGAAAGATGCTTTCAATCTTTTTTGGAAACTTTCCTCAGACGAATTTTAAGAAAATTGGACCCTATCGACTCGGAGGGGCATGCTTGTGTTTTCGCTATTCCCTCCTGTGAGTTTCAAACAACCAAGTCTCATTTTATGGGATCTGCAAACTGTTGTGAAGCTGCAGCGCGGTGCGAGTGAGTTAGGCCATGCTTCTTTGCGGCAGCGTCCACCATCGTCTGCCAGCGTCCACTAGCGTTCCGAAGATCCGGCAGCGTCAGCGACTAGGGAAGTAACGATATCGATCTAGCGTCTGGCAGTCTACCAGCGTCTGCCAAGGTCTCGAGGGATAGGGAAACAAGGGTTTTAATCTAGCGTCCAGTCCACCAGCGATCACCAGCGACTGGGAATGGAGAGTATGGGGAAGTAGGAGTGTAGCAGACAGCTGAAGTAGGCGTTTGCAACCACACCTCGCAACTACACTACACCCACATTTAAATTCATAATCCTGTACTTTAGCAGTTGTGCGGTGCGGTCGCACACGCCGCAATTTCACGACGCCTAATACAGCTGTTTGCTACCCTCCTACTTTTCCATACTCTCTTTTCCTGGTCGCCGGTGAAGGCTGGTGGATGCTGGTAACGTTGAATACCTGGGATGTCAATAGGTGCGCTTCGCTATGCCACGTCGACGCTGGCAGACGCTAGTGTACCTTACGCAAAGGTATGAACGCAGACCTGTTTGGTCTCAGGTGTTCGCAGGTCTCTAGAAAGTGGCCGCGCTGGCTTAGCTGGGTGCTACTCGGTGCCCACACCAATCTGGACTGAGCGAAAGACTGATTGGAGTGAGCACCCTTTGCGGAGCGCAGTCCATCATTTCGACCAGAGAACTTGGATGTTGGATGGCCTCGATGAAACTGGCGTGCCTCACGAGAGCGTTTAACGCTAGCTCACACCGCTCTCGGGAACCTTTTTTGATGCTCCCAATATTTACCCTACTTTATGGGGGTGTAAGCCTTACCCTCAAATAATGCGCCCCTTAATTGCCTCAAACGTCGCAAATGATTCGAGCAAAAAGGAATGTGTTCTGATTTCATTTCTTTCAATAAAAGTCCTATTCTAAAATTACCAATGGTTCTACGGTAGTTAGTTTCATTCTTTAGATTATCAGTTGTATGATCAGTACTTCATTTGATGTTATTGAACAACTTAATATAAGTAAATATAGTGAATGATATGAATAACATAGCTGGACAATGATATTGAATAAAAACTGTTTGAAAACTAATCAGAAGAGGCAAATATGCAAAAAAAGACAAAAGCAGCTGCTCCTCCTATTTAAAACTAGTCGCATTATTGCGTGATAGTAGGGCAAGTTCGCTTAGGGAGGGGACAAAGAAGTTAGGGATTTTGGTCGAGTTCGTACTACACCCCCCCCCTAAGAGGTGGCTTGATACGACCCCTCCCTCTTTACAGTTTTGTTTACAGTTTCCGTTAGTTTTTTCCAGGGCTTGTCTTACTGAAAAACTTTTGGAAAGTACGACCCCCCCCCCTTCCCATGCTATCTACTGTATCGCCTCTCTTGCCACCTTTTCCAGGCTTTTCGCCACGGTTCCTGTCAAGCGGGAGGGGGGGTATACAGCACACGTGAAACGGGGAAAAACCGCGAAAAGTCAACAGACGGGTAAAGCCCAATGCCGCAAATTTCTCTCAAAGGCAAATACGACCCTCCCCAAGTTATAGCGTCCGTAAAGCAACAAAAATCAACTATCAAGAAAAATTTCCCAGACCAAATGCGTTCCACTCCTCCCCATAGCGACCAAATGCGACCCCTCCCCCTTCTGGGGAATCCTCAACGATGATATACCCCGATTCCGGTAACGTCACTTCAGCAAAAAGATTCATCCAAAGATACACTCTACTCTAACCTTCGACGATCCTGACCCTTGCCATGTGCGAGATGAACGTCTCTGTAGCTGCAGAAGTGTGCCACTTGAGATCACTTGAGGATGCCCGGAAATGAGGCTGGAGGGTATTGATACTCAGATGCAATGACGTTCCAGACTCCACCCACAGGCAAGCACACAAACGAACGTGTCGCACGACTAGGCGTACGCCTATCTATGGCCAAATGCTTCACAAGTCTGCGTCCGCCCACGTTTAGTTGTTCTCTACACACCCCCGTGATCTGCACCTTGCCGTTCATGCTGGTCGCTGTGGGATCTCGGCATAGACGCGAATGTCACACTTTGTGGGGTGGAGTGTGAAACAGCATCATTAGCTATCACAGCCCTCCGGCTTTATTTTTGCCCCTTTTCATGTGTTGGAAATGCTTGCAAGTGACAAGGATCTACTGGTGTCTGGGCACGCTGTGTTCAACGGTGACTGCTTCTGTTTAGCAAAGGATCCCTCAGTTCTGACGCTCCTCGAAGGACAAACTGCCTAAATTTAGGAAAGAGAATTTCACCGCTGTCTGGGAACAATGGCACCAATTCTCAACGGTAGCCATATCTCCAGTCATTAAGTTGATTCTCATTTTGTTCCGACGGCGCTTGCAATGAAATTACAGTTTTTGCTCATTTCGATGTTCGCAGCGCTGTCTGTCGTCACTTAAATTGCTTCATGTCCACAACCTGTGATACACACTGTGCAGGAGTGCATTTAATTGAATTTCCTCGCTAAAACCATCAAGAAATGTGCCCGTTTCGTGATAGCACATTTTCAGAAGGATAATTCAGGAATTGAGATGAGTCCATCAAACTTCGCAACTGCACAGCTGTCTTACAATTAGTCGAGCCAGCATTCCACCTTGCTGGGGTTGACGTAAGCATGAGGAAGATTTTTACAAGCCACTGCATACCTACCGATCTCAAAGGGGGAATAGAGTAGGATGTGGAACAGGATTCTGCTAGCATTGCTAGGAGAAATTTCAGCTGATCTAGACACGTTTCGTAGTTGGGAAGACCTTGGGAATGGATCTCGAAATTAGGGCACGTCCTGCCGTTAGGGGAGGGGGAATTCAGGCAAAATACGACCCTTCTCAGGACTTCTGCTTCTGGTATAACCCTCCCCTCCCGTCCATCCGACATTCTATGTGTCATCCTCCTCAATTTTCCCAACTTCCCGCCACTTACTTTCTTTACGTTTTGTTCTGAAAAAATTCCCCTACGTTTTCTCGAAGTGCTGCCGTGCAGCGAGGAGGAGGGGGGGGGCTATATGGTGCACTTGAAAACTGAAGACAGGAAATTGGAGAAGAATCCAACAACCAAAAACGTTTTCTCCAGAGAATACGATCGCCTCTCTCCCTCTCTCCCTCCAGCGACCAGATATGTCTTCCCTCCCTCGGTTCCCTAACCTACGACGTTCCTACTCGAAAAGGATCGTGAAAGAGAAGACTGCTGGGCTGTCATGGACAGATCACTGTGGAATGAAAGTACCACGTGCCTTGTACCACATGTGAAGGGCGAGCCTTGGATGGACTACGGGACGATTCTACCAGGTCTTCCTTCCTTCCTGGTCGGGCCAGGTGGCCCCAAACACCTCTGGGGACATGATTTACTGATTTATACATCGGATTGCCCCGCAGATCTTCGATTAGACTGACCATCCCAACTACGATCGTGAACAGAAGAAGAATCAGTGCTACATTCCAAAGTTAGTTACTGAAATGAGGGGAAGCTTTATCCTTTATCCTTTGCATGTCCTTCTATGGGATCACTGCTGCATCGAGCTGTGGGCCCAGTGTACCACCATACCTTTCTTGCAACTTATGTCAGTGGCGCTTCTGGCTCGTTCTTAACTCTTGAGCGAGGCACGTTGATGGTTTCTCTGGTCGTCAGATGGAGGACGGGGGTCGCATTTTGTCTGAGAGAGTTTCCTCTAATTGGTAATTGTTCCCGTTTCCCGCGCACTTTGTATCCTCTTTTTCTTCGTG